ATTCGGCTATGTTTGGAAAAGGTTTGAAGGTAATGCTCGCCTAAGGTGGAGTGAGTGATTGGTTCAGTCACATGGGGACAAGAGACTGGGTAGGGTTGATAAGTGGGAAGTGGTGGATTGAGACTATTGCGGTTTGGTGAGGAAGTTTCAGTAAAAGCCTACCTCCTTTTCAAGCGAATAGTCTTTATAACGCATGGAGCGCAATGATTTACTGCTATTTATAAGCATAATCGAGTATTTGTAAACAAATGCGTGAATTTGCACACAATACACAGGCTACCCAACTACTCCTTGACCGTAAAAATTGGCTACACAGTTTTGGTAAGACGAACTTTCAAGAAATATTCATCTATTCAAGTTCGCATCAAATCATGCGTAAAAATATACTAAAAAAGGATTTTGAAAATTTATTCGTAAGCTCTAAAGTCGTAGGATATGACACGTGGTCTGTAGTAAACATTTTCAGTTACAAGTGACTCATCCATAGGCTTCTATGAGTTCCTTCCCTTTGGTTGCGGTAGATATAAAGTATAATGCTATATTTGCTATTAAGAATTAATTCTAGTGAACATATTTTTTACTAAAATAATAAAATTATCTATTTGATTATTCTCACGCATTTTATTCTGGTACATCCGCTTTTATGCACTCAAACTGAATTCAGTTTGCCAGTACGGTATCCGTAACCTTATATGAAATTGCACATTGTACACGTTACCTCACGACAACTTATTGGTAACCGTTCAAAAGGCCGATTATAGGATTGTTGGAAAATTATTTGCAATTTTATACCTATTTGCATTTCTGAGAGAAGAAATCAAGAAGGTGCCGGCAATCTCGCAACTTGTGCAGCATATGAGTCGTAAAATAACCCGCATGTTGTGCAATACACATGTCGAGCAACAACCAACACGACTGTACATGTGGGACCAGTCCAATCAAATGCTTCTAATTTTTTTTTCAAAATATACACTTCTCGTTTCGAACACTTCCAAGACTACCAAAATCTTTATGAGAATTTCCCGGTCTGATTTATCTCCTACGTCTTTCCAGAGCGCTCAAAAACGAACAGGTGTCGCATGTGTGAACTGCAAGACGAACACGACGACATTATGGAGGAGAAATGGAGGTGGTGAACCGGTCTGTAATGCCTGTGGACTCTATTACAAGCTACATCAGGTGAGCACAGACGTCAGTTTTTTTTCTTCTTCTGCGCTCAGTCCTAGTGCCTCGTATCGCTGCAATATCTCCAATTAAATAGAGTGACTTATAGCTGGAAATTTTCGCGTCGAGAAAAACAATGTAAAATAGTGCTGTTGATTTTTGTGCAATTCTACCGTAACCCGCGCTCACCTTTGAGATAAGCGTCAGCGCAACATCCGGGAGTGTCTAAATAATTTGATTTGTGACGCGGTTTTACCACCACATTACGCATTCGGGTCAAAAGAGCAGCCGACACTAGGAGTATGGGATCGAGATTGCTTAGATAAGCATGACAGCGCCTTTTTGCTTATGGTACGACTACCGCCTTAAGAAAAACAGAATCGCCATCAAACATCTGTGATGGCGCTACACCTTCGTGAGGGTGAGGAATGGTTAAAAAGTTGGACTTTTTAGGTAGAAAGACCTCTGACAATGAAGAAGGACGGGATTCAGACAAGGAATCGGAAGATGTCGACGAAGGGGAAAAAGCCAAAGGTTTGTGAAAATTACAGATAGTTTTCAAGAGAAAATAGTTTTCTGAAAGTTTTCGCTTGTGAAAGAATAGGAGTCGAATCAATTTCAATCTCAAATGACGTTCACGCATTCCTTGCGGGACCCATATTTCGTAATTCATGCAGTCAGTGATAAGAATAACGCAGTTGAACTT